GTCTTTGGGTTTTGAGACTTTGTTATGCCAAGAATACATGTTAAATGAAGCACAATATCTGTTGCATTTATAACATGATCAAGTAACACAATGCATAGCATCAAAAGGAAAAGAAAAAAACACGTGTATGTTTCTCTCATGGGAACATACTATGAGCCACTGAAAACATTGCAAATGCAAGTGAAGCAGCTGTTTCTGGTTTTCTTTTAAGGTCCCTAACTGAGAGTTCACCTCCCAAAAGATGTGCATGAATGCAGACTTAAAATATATATCATGTGATTCAGAGGCGGGATTCAAATTTTTTTACTACCAGTTCTGTGGGTGTGGCTTGGTGCGTGTGGCAGGGGAAGGATACTGTAAAATCTCCAGTCAGAGGTGGTATTTGCCGGTTCTCTGAACTACTCAAAATTTCCTCTACCGGTTCTCCTGAACTGGTCAGAACCTGCTGAATATCACCTATGGTGTGATTGTATACTGCTGTGTAGGTACACAGTGAAAAGCAGACTTAAGCATCATATATTTTCTTTCCACAAAAATAAGATAAAAGGGGTATCACAGAACAGATTGAATAGCTCTTTTTTAAAATTGTAAAACTGCAAGACTAGAACACATAAAAGTATATGGAAATTCCAAACCAACAATTTGAAAATAATTTTAATGGGGTGAGATAATACAAAGGAAAAACTAGTATCAAGAGACTTGGAAGAGGTGTGGGTATTTTGGGCTGACTAAGTGAAGCAGGTATTATAGTATCAGAGAGAACCAGCTCTCTTCATAAGTGTTTGGAGGGAAATTCCACAGAAAAGAAGGAAACTTATTTTAGTATAGCAGTGCCTAAGAGTTTACAGAATCCTTGTTGGTTTATATAGCTATGCTTTTTTTTTAGGAACAAGAAATCTTTTTTCCTTTGGTTTCTGCCTAAAGTTCAGGCATTTCTGCTAAGTTTGGAAGCTATGGGGTAGGAATACAGTAGCTAGCAAGTAATGGCTACTAGAGACGAGATATATACAGTATCTCCGTAGTACAGTAAATTGTAGCGCAAGTAGCTTTATGTTCTAGATGCAAACACTATATCCAATGCTCAGTTTAAAGTAGCTTTTTTTCTAGAACACCTCAAACATTAGCTAAGAATGCTGGGAATGATAGGATTTGTATTCTAGCACATGAATCCTTTAGGCCAGGGGTGTCAATCTCACGGCCCATGAGCCGGATGCATCACATGCTGGCCCCGCCCCCACCCGATTTAGCGAAGGGAAAAAAGTCCCTATACATCATGTGATGCCGCCGTAACGACATGAGTTTGACACCTCTGCTTTAGGCTATCCTCTCTCTCCAGTTTGCTTCATAGATAAATCTACTTGAATTGTTGAACCAACTTCTCAATAAGACTGTCTGTTCTATGTGGTGTCCACTTCTCTAGTGAAACAGAGAGACGTCTACTCAGTTGTTAAGAAAAACCTGTCCCTGGAAACAGAGATGACCTCAGATCTCTTGGAATTTTGGAAGGCTGTTAAAACCTAGATCTTCGGGGGTGGGTGGGAAGGCTGAGTATGGGATTGAGGAGATATTTTATGATATAGTTGTATTGTACATTGTTTATATTTTAAGCTGAATTAATAGAATGGTTCTTTGTTAGACACTTTTTAGAATATGTGAAGTGATATAAATGTTCATATAAGTAATGAATTTAGTAGATGTTGGGCATTTCTGATTTGTTGATTGATGGAGAATTGCCTATGGCCTTAGTGTTGGATATGATGTAGGATCTATACAGTTCTTTGTCTAACATACTTGTAATAGAATTCTCTGCTACTCCTTTGTATCTACAATCCTTTTTGGAAGTAATAAATCTTAATGTTATTGTGTGGGATTGTCTATAATGCTTGGCAATGGTAGCATTAGTAGATTTTTTGGGAATGGCAAAAAACATTTCCCTGAGTTCTGTATGACCCTATTACATCATAACACTTTTCTAAAGCACAATTTTACATAAAATATGAAACAGTTAAAAAGAAATATTATTAAGTGATGCTGAATTTACTAATCACCTATAATTTTTATCAGGAGCTTTGAATTAATGATTTGATTAGAGGATTTCAAAATCTGATATCTGAAACGAATCTCTGAACTGATTCACTCTACTCAATCAAATCAGGTAGGTACCTTTAATTTCTGAGTTTCCAAACCAATTTGGAGATTTGTTGGGGTTGTTTTGCTCCATAGATTTTCAAACATTTTCAGCTTGCACTCCATGTATGGACAAAATTAAGAGAGGCAAGTTGATGCTTACCGTGATATTGACATGCATGGTAACCAATGACTTTAATATTTCCCAGCACTTCCCAACCAATACCAGTACTTAGTAAACTCTGCTCTGCTCTCTTCATTTGTCCATTTGTCAACATCATGCTAAGTTTATTGAAGGAGTGACAGATTGTAGCTTTTGGTTTTCTGTTTTATTTGACTTGTAGTATAGTACATATTAATTGTGCCACTGTCTGCAGTTTATCCTTTTATCATCTTTCAATTCCTTCCCCCAAATTAAAAAAATAATCTAAAATAACTTACGTCATCTTCTTCTGCTTGCCTTTTGTCAATTGTTCTAGAATCTAGTGATTGAATAAGCCTTCTCCATTGCATAAGTGGGCATGAGATAGTGTGCCTGCTGCTAAGACTATTGCATATAATACAAACTATTTCTTAAAATATCTATCTATCTATCTATCATCTATCTATCTATCTATCTATCTATCTATCTATCTATCTATCTATC